AGGAGATGAAGGCTGCAGCCAGCTGTGACTGCACCACTGCCACTGCACTGCAGCCTGGGTGAGACCTTGTGTCTTAAAAACAACAAAAAAGGCCGGGCGCAGTGACTCACACCTCTAATCCCAGCACTTTGGGAGGCTGAGGAGGGCAGGTCATCTGAGGTCAGGGGTTCAAGAACAGCCTGCCCAACGTGGTGAAACCCCATCTCTAGCAAAAATTAGCCATGCTTAGTGGTGGGCACCTGTAATCCCAGCTACTTAGGAGACTGAGATAGGAGAATCACTTGAACTCGGGAGGCGGAGGTTGCAGTGACCTGAGATTGCACCACTGCACTGCAGCCTGGGCAGCAAGAGCCAAACTCCATCTTAAAAAGGAAAAACAAACAAAAAACCTGGCTTGCTATATTTTTTACTTATTTAAAAACTCACAAAGCTGGAGGGCAAACAGTTGAAAATGTTTAAAATCAAAATCGAAGTGCTCTTGAGCACTCCCAGGCCCAATGTTCACATTTCTTAAACCGAGTAAATTAAAATCCATAGACTGAGAAAGAGAAAGCCTGAATCACACTGGCTTCCACTCGAGCAAAACTCTGAGCTAGCAGATGTGGGAGGGTAGAGGTGACTTTAAGTGAAAAATAAAGTGGTTCTTGGCTGAGTTGAATATAAATTATCTTCAAAACCAGTGAATTGCTACAGGAATGGGTTGGAGCGGAAAGTTTCAACTAGTTCTAGACTGATGGCTCTTGTTTTATTTCAGGTGAGTCATGATTAAATTACGAAAGCCAATCTATTTAGAAGCCAACATACCAAAGCATCTCAAGGAGAGACTGTGGCCTGAAATGTCTCTAGTGGCACCTGGTTTAAGAGAACTGAGGAATTGTATAAATGAGAGTAAAGATGTGCCTATGCAGAAGTAACTCCTAGTATTTCTTTGTATTTGGCAACAAAACTACAAGGACTGGGTTAACAGGCATCTCCCGTTGAAACCTCACCCTCCTGCTTCAAGGGACTCTCCAACTTCGCTGGCTCAAACATCTCACTTTTTTAAATTTTTTTCTTTTCAGGTGTCTTGCATTGGATTTTTTTTTTTTTAATTGAGTTTTTGTTCTTGTTGCCCAGGCTGGTGTGCAATGGTGCAATCTTGGCTCACTGCAACCTTGGCTTCCTAGGTTCAAGTGATTCTCCTGCCTCAGGCTCCTGGGTAGCTGGGACTAAAAGCGCGTGCCACCATGCCTGACTAATTTTTCTATTTTTAGTAGAGACAGTTTCACCCTGTTAGCCGGGATGGTCTCAAACTCCTGATCTCAGGTGATCCACCCACCTCTGCCTCCCAAAGTGCTGGGACTAGAGGCGTGAGCCACCACGCCCAGTCCCAAACGTCTCACTTTTAACACCTGGATCCAACTATACTTCTCCCCATCTTCTCCCTTCATTTCTGCAAATCCCTTTCCAATAAAATGCAGCCACATGTCAGCACAGCCTGTCTTCAAGGTATACGGTGACTCAAGGATCAAGCGACAACTGCCCTACCCACATATCTTCTCCCCTGAAGCCCCCGTCCCTATGCTCAGAGGTTGAAAGCTTTTTTTTTTTTTTTTTTTTTTTTTGAGATGGAGTTTTGCTCTTGTTGCCCAGGCTGGAGTGCAATAGCGCCATCTCGGCTCACTGCAACCTCCGCCTTCCAGGTTCAAGCAGTTCTCCTGCTTCAGCCTCCCAAGTAGCTAGGATTACAGGCATGCACCGCCATACCCAACAAACTGTTTTGAATTTTTAGTAGAAACACGGTTTGTCCATGTTGGTCAGGCTGGTCTCGAACTCCTGACCTCAGGTGATCCACCCGCCTTGGCTTCCTAAAGTGCTGGGATTACAGGCGTGAGCCCAAGCACAGCTGGTTGAAAGCTTTTTAAAGAATTTCCTTCCTGATCAGTGCTTTCATATTCCACCTCTAGAAGACATCTAATTACCCCAACCTCAACTGTTTCCAAGATAAACTCAGTTCTGTGATCCAATCAGACAGAATTTATCCTCCCACCTCCATCTTCACTCATGCTTTGACTTACATTTCTGGTTAGGGGTTGCCGAGCAAAGACTATGGACGCAGAGGAGAGGCTACTATTTTGTTACTGGAGAAGAGAGGGGACTGTCTACTGGTACTTCATACAGGTCGAACATCCCTAACCCAAAAATTCAAAATGCGAAACGCTCCAAAATCTGAAACTGAGTATCAATCAACATGATGCCACAAATGGAGAATTCCACACCTGACTCCACGTGATAGACACAGTCAAAACACAGTTAAAACTGTTTTACGCAGTGTTATTAAAAAGATTGTATAAAACTCCCTTCAGGATATAAGGTGTATCTGAAACATTAATAAAATTCATGTTAGACTCATGTCCCACCCCATCCCCCCATATCTCATTATGTATATACAAATATTTCTTTTTCCTTTTTTTTGAGATGGAGTCGCTGTGTTGCCCAGGCTGGAGTGCAATGGCATGATCTCCACTCACTGCAACCTCCACCTGCCGGGTTCAAGCGATTCTCCCATCTCAGCCTCCTGAGTACCTGGGACTACAAATGCCCACCACCACCCCAGCTAATTTTTGTATTTTTAGTAGAAACGGGGTTTCACCATGTTAGCCAGACTGGTCTCAAACTTCTGATCTCAAATGATCCACCCGCTTTGGCCTCCCAAAGTGCTGGGACTACAGGCATGAGCCACCATGCCTGGCCTTTATATGCAAATATTTCAAAATCCAAAAATCTCTGAAATCTGAAACACTTTTGGTCCCAAGCATTTCAGATCAGGGACACTCAACCTATCCTTTAAATCGCTCTCCTTGGAACCAACATCATTTCATAGCGGACGCTGAAGTTCCACCTGAGTTGGTAGAGATGTGAACTGAGCTATGCAGAAAGTAGTGACGGGAGACAGCGAGATCAGGCGGAAAACAAAACAAAGCCGGGGTCGGTCAGTCTTGTAAGGGTACAAGCCGGGGCCCAGGAACCTTCACAGAACCTTCTGAACTTCAGAGAAACTTTCTGAACTGGTTTCCTTGGACATAAACTCAGGATTAAACTATTACACCTTTAGAATTTTAAGTAAAAAGTATTTACATATTTTTAGATGATATATATTTCAATAAAATATGTATATGATTTAACATATTTTAAAAAGCGAAAAAATAGGCCAGGAGTGATGGCTCATGCCTGTAATCCCAGCACTTTGTGGAAGCAGGTGGATCATGCAGTCAAGAGCTGAGACCATCCTGGCCAACATGGTGAAATGCCATCTCTACTAAAATTACAAAAATTAGCTGGGCATGGTGGTGCATGCCTGTAGTCCCAGCTATTCACGAGGCTGAGGCAGGAGAATTGCTTGAATCCGGGAGGCTGAGGTTGCAGTGAGCCGAGATCGCGCCATTGCACTCCAGCCTGGCAACAGAGTGAGTCTGTTTCGAAAAAAAAAGTGACAAAATAGTTTTTCATTTTGAGCCCAGGAGGCGATGGCCAGAGTCACCTTTTCAGAAATGTTTGCTGGTGGTGGTGAAATTCTCCTGGGCAGACATTCCAGAACCCCTGGACTCACGCTGCACCCCCTCGCCTCTTCCAGAAGCCTGTTCTCCTCCCCTAACCCCAGTCAAACCTGACCTTTTTTTTTGAGACAAACTCTCACTCTGCTGCCCAGGCTGGAGCACAATGGTGCAGTCTTGGCTCACTGCAACTTCTGCCTCCTGGGCTCAAGTTATCTTCCCACCTCAACCTCCCAAGTAGCGGAAACAGCAGAGGTGTGCTACCTCGCCTGGCTAATTTTTGAATTTTTAGTAGAGACAGGGTTTCACTATATCAGCCAAGCTGGTATCAAACTCCTGACCTCTAGTGATCCACACACCTCGGCCTCCCAAAGTGCTAGGGTTACAGGCGTGAGCCACTGTGCCTGGCCAAACTTGAGTATCCTTTAAGCCACTGGCTCTTGGCCTTACAGATGTCAGAGGCCTCTCTGAAAATCTGGGAAGAGCTATGAACCCCTCCATAGGAAAATGCAGATCTACCTCCTCACGTAAGTGAAAAGGTTCCCTTCCAGATTACACCCAGCACAAGCCTCTCTTCTTCCAGAAAATGTCCATGCCTCCCCGGGTCCATGCTTTCGGCATGTTGCATATTCTGCTTTGCCTGATTCTCCAAGCCTTTGTGTTGTTTAAGCCACCTTCAAATAGAGTGTACACTCTTAACTATAATATCATCTTCTTCCTGGTGCCTAAATGAGTACTGAATGGTCAGAACGGGATTTCTGTATGGGAATGGATACCCTGCACGCAGCTGTGTAGCCACTTGGAGTTCAATGGGCCCTGGGTTCTGGAAAACAAATAAATAGCTGGAGCCTACCCGCAGTTAGCAACTAAGACAAGCAGGGTCAAGCCACCAGGTGGCGGGCTGCAGGGGTGATGCAGGTCCATAGCTGCACCTGCACCCATGCCTGCACCTGCACACGCACCCGCATCTGCACCCACATCCGCACCTGCACCCACACCCACATCCGCACCCGCACCCACATCTGCACCTGCACCCGCACCCGCACCCACATCTGCAGTGAGAGCATGGGAAGTGCAGGATGGGGAAGGGGAAGCACCTGGCCAAGCACCAGCATCTTCAAGGAACCCCATTTCCTTCTGCTGAGGCTCTTATTTCCCAAGTGCCTTAGAAAGGTTTAGAGACACCTATTTTATTCCCCTCTATTTCCTCCTGTTAGGAAAGGCACCAGGCTTTTGTTTCTGAATTGGGTAAGTATGATGCAAGCCCCTATGATTCATGAGGTCATGATTCGATGACCCGACCCTCACCAGCAATGCACACGATGCTTGTGGGCAAACAGCCAGCAGGCAGGACTGTTTCCAGCGGCTCACAGAGGAGCAATGTGTGCAAACCCCAATGGAGAGATGAGATTCCTGTGTCGGCACTTTCCCCTTCTACCACAGAGGCAGATGCCCCATGGTACTTACCGGTATTTGAGTAATTCTGGAGAATATTTTGACTTGGCTTTGAAAATCACCTGTAACAACAGAAAAACATGGTAAGTTGGGGTCCGATATGTTGACAGAACTAGACTGATACCATCACTTGGAATTCCTCTGCCCCTTCATACCCTGGCGCTGGGGTATATTTTTTGTAATTGAAACATTTGCATTTATGTCAAACATTTCTTATGCTGCACATACAATTTTTTTTTGAGACAAAGTTTTGCTCTTGTCTAGCTTGAAGTGCAATAGCTCAATCTCGGCTCACTGCAACCTCCCTTCCGGGTTCAAGTGATTCTCCTGCCTCAGCCTCCCGAGTAGCTGGGACTATAGGCATGCACCACCATGCCCAGCTAATTTTGTATTTTTTTTTTTTTTAGTACAGACAGGGTTTCTCCATGTTGGTCAGGCTGGTCTCGAACTCCCAATCTCAGGTGATCCACCCACATCATCCTCCCAAAGTGCTAGGATTACAGGCATGAGCCATGGCACCCGGCCTACAGTTTTAATAGTAAAGGAATTTGAACATGGTTAAAAAAGAAAACAAAAGCAAATGTATTACTAGTGTACCATGGCCAGTACTTTTCTTATTTTAGGATTCTTTTTTTGAGATGGAGTCTCATTCTTGTCACCCAAGCTGGAGTGCAATGGCGCCATCTCAGCTCACTGCAACTTCTGCCTCCCCAGTTTGATTCTCCTGTCTCAGCCTCCCGAGTAGCTGGGATTACAGATGCCATCACACCCAGCTAATTTTTGTATTTTTAGCAGAGATGTTTCACCATGTTGGCCAGGCTGGTCTCAAACTCCTGACCTCAGGTGATCCGCCCACCTCAGCCTCCCAAAGTGCTGGGGTTACAGGCGTGAGCCACACACCGGACCTTAAGATTTTTATTTAAGATGGACAGTTCATTCTCTTTATTAGAATTAATAAGTGCCTGCCTACCCAGGCCTCAAACTTTGCAGTACATTTAAAATAACAAAACATCTTTGGACTATAGAAGTCTCAAACTGGATTGTTTTCCAAAAGAGAAATATTGCACACTGGCATTTCTCAAGCTCTTTTCTAAGTCTTTATGATTGCTGAAGTGCCCACACACACTGGGTGGCCGAGAGCCCTGCGGAGCCTTCCGAGAAGGTGAAGAGGCAGCAGAAGCAGGTGTCCACTGAAGCTTCCACCGCCCAGACAGGGCTGCTGCTACTGCTACAGCACGTGCTGGAGAGTCAGGCAGGGGCCCAGGCTCATGGGGATCTCAGTGGGGGGTCTCCGGGGGTTGGGTGTAGCCTGCGGAGCAGTTACACATGAGCACATGGATCCCTGCTGTTTAGCAGGGCTGCAGTACGGTATTGGGGGAAGAAGGAAAGAAAGGGTGTGGAAGAGTGAAGGAGAGAGGCCAGCTTTTCAGAAACAATCTGTCGAGCATCTGAAGACCCCCGTTCCTGCAAGTTTGGACTCTGACCATCATCTCTCCATTCTCTGGCCGCCCCACCCAGCCCCTGGCAACCACCACTCTACTCTCTGTTTCTATGAGTTCTAACTTGTTTAGATTCCACATGTAAGTGGGATCTATTTGTCTTTCTGTGCCTGGCTTATTGCACTTAGCGTAGCGTCCTCCAGCCATGTTGAGTAAGTCCCGGGGAGCTCTCCTGTAGTCAGGTACAGCATGACTACAGTCAGTAACAATGTATGCTATACTTGAAATCTGCTAAGAGAGATCTTAGGTGTTCTCACCACAAAACAAGAGTGAGCAGCACTGTGAGGTGATGGATATGTTAACTAGCTTGATTGTGGGAATCCCTTACGTGTATCAAAACATCATGGTGCAGACTTTGTATATATTCCATCTTTGTCAATTAAACCTCAACAAAGCTGGGAGGGGGGTAGGGGAAGAAGACTCTCATTCCCCACTTCGAAGTAAACCACTCTTTATGGAGTTCCTACACCTACCCTTGGCCTCAGGGCCTCTGTTCCCGCAGCCCCCTGAAGCCCCTCTGTGCTTAACTGCATCCACACCTGGTCCTCCTCTCCCTCATGAATCCCCTGGTCAAATCTGCTCTCTGCTGCTTCTCAGGGAGGAGGCTGAAGTGGGAGGACTGCTTGAGCCCAGGAGTTTGAGACCACCCTCGCCAACATAGTGTGAGGGCTCATCTCTTAAAAAAACCCAAACGATAATGATCTCATGACGGCCAGGCACAATGGCTCACACCTGACCTCAAGTGATCCTCCCACCTTGGTCTCCTGAAGTGCTGGGATTACAGGTGTGAGCCACTGCACCCAGCCATTCCTAAAGATTTTTAAGTAAGCACCACTTCCCCCTTTATAACCTCCCCAGAGCATCACAGGTGAGTCTTCCAACCTTCTACAGGAATTATTTGGTTCTGCTGTGAGTTTTCCCTTTGTCATAAATCCTTTTTGGAAGTAGGAAGGAGGCAGGGGTTTGTACCATAAATACATCAAAGTATTTTCCTCTGGTAACAGAACAACAGACGGCTCAGTACAGCGACCTTCCTTTAAAGGAGTCCTGGTTCAGCTTTATCTGACAACCCACCACGGGATTTTAGGCAAGGCACATCACCTTTGGTATTTCTCTGATACCCATTAAAAAAAAAGCTACCAAACAACCTCTCTTAGAAACGAGAAATAGATTAATACATGACTCCAAAGATCCATTACAAAATATGCTACTGATTTCATGAAACGGGGAACGATGCCTTTCCGTGAAATAGTCCTAAAGAATCTTGCTTTTTAATAACTGAGACTTCTTCACAAATACCAAAGTGAAGAGAAGAAACTACAGAATTTTTTTAAAAAGTGTTAGACCTGTTCAAGGAAATAAGCAAAATCTGTTTTGATATTTTGCCCACATAGTGGGGTTTGCTGAGCAGTAGGTAACCCAGTTAACGTGCCTGGATTACTCTTACCCAACACGCAGCACGGCTGTATTGCAGCACTCCTGGCCACCATATATAAACACTCATATGCTTTGCCCCAAAAATTCCACTTGCAAGAATTTATTTGGAAGCAGGCCTTCTCAAGGTGTTCCAGCAGAACTAGAAATTAGTAAGAAATATTTGAAAATAAATAGCATGTGATCAAACAAATTTACAAGCTGCTACGAAAATGTTTTTCCCCCTGCAGGAATTCTCAGAGCCTTTCAAAGGCAAATATATTGTCAGTCTTCAAGAGAAACACACGGCATACAGCGGTTTCCAAATTTATTTGCCCAATTTCAGTCTTCTTAATGAGCATTCCCAGACTAGAGTTTGGGAAGCACTGCCCTGTGGAACAGAAGGTTCACCGCAGCTTCAATAAGAGTAATAGTAGTCCTGGCGCAGTGGCTCATGCCCATAATCCCAGCACTTTGGGAGGCTGAGGCAGGTGGATCACCTGAAGTCAGGAGTTCAAGACCACCCTGGCCAACATGGTGAAACCCTGTCTCAAATAAAAATACAAAAATTAGCTGGGCATGGTGGTGGGTGCCTATAATCCCAGCTACTCAGGAGGCTGAAGCAGGAAAATCGCTTGAACCTGGGAGGCAGAGGTTGCAGTGAGCCGAGATTGCACCATTGCACTACAGCCTGGGGGACAAGAGCAAGACTTTGTCTCAAAATAAATAAGAGGAATAATAACAATAACAACAACAAAGGAGAAGCAACAGCAACTTTCAGATGCTCCCAGCCTTTGCCCCGAGAACATGAACACAGATCAAGAAATGCACTGCCTACAAGAAGACCCTGGAGTTCACCACTCTATCCTTGAAAGGGAAGGATGACTTCTGCCAGCCAAGCTGTGGATAACTCACAAGCCCTCATTCCATTCATCATTAGGTCCACATCCCTGCCTGGAGCGGAAAAGTCATCAGCATATCAAGGTACAATCTGACATTAAATCAGTCATTTTGATCCTCCCAAGCTCAAAGTCAGGTGCTAACAACATCAAAATAAAAGCCTTGACCATGGTTTTGAAAAGCTCTACTTTTTATAATTTGTGGCGATGTATCTTGAATTCACCCTGAGTGCGGTGGCTCACGCCTGTAATCCCAGAACTTTGGGAGGCTGAGGCAGGCGGATCACCTGAGGTCAAGAGCTCAAGACTAGCTTGGCCGACTCCGCCCCACCCTGCCCCCAGTAAAAATATAAAATTACCTGGGTGTGGTGGCAGGTGCCTGTAATCCTAGCTACTCAGGAGGCTGAGGCAGAACTGCCTGACCCCAGGAGGTGGAGGTTGCAGTGAGCCGAGATCACGCCATTGCACTCCAGCCTGAGCAACAAGAGCGAAACTCCATCTCAAAATATATCTCCATCTATCTATATACATACATATATGTATATAGAATTCATCTGGGCACTATTCAAGCTGTGCTTAGAAAATCTTCCTTAGTCCTTCAAGTTAATAATTAAACTTAAGTTCCTTAAAGCTGTGTTTGAATTCCTGGCAAGTGAAACTGAAATAATATATATATGCACTTATATTATCTATATAACTTATGATATAGATAACATCAGCACACACATATATAATTTCAGTACAACTTTTGCCCTCATTAAAGGGCATAAATGTCTGAACCAAGTTTCCAAAAAAAATAAATCTAAACTCTCCCACCCACTCTTTTCTGTGTTCCGAGAGACTGCTAAAGACTGATGGGTGCCCAGAATTGGAGCTAATCCTCCTGGCTCACCCCAGCTCTCTGGCTGGCCGGGCTCTCATATCCGGTTGCCCATCTCTGCCAGTCTGCACGGGCTCCCACCGACCTCGGCAGGAATTCAGCTAGGAGGGGAGGTGGGGAATTCAGCTCCAATGGGGAAGCAGACATGAACCCCCCTGTCACACTGTATGGTGCTTTAACAGCATGGGCACCCTCTGCTCAGTGACCTCAGATGTACAAAAATGAAAAAGAGGGAGATATGACCCCTGTGAGAGGCTAAGGAACAGATGAGGCCAGATGAAAATTCACATCATCCTGGCTTTCCGACTGGTGGTGTTCAGGTCAACGATACTGAGCACTAAGTCTGCACCGGACACTGGGTTGGACCAAGA